AGTGTCTTTTTAATCCTTCAGCTGTAAGAGACTCTTTTCTCCTCAAAGGCATGCTCAGATCATGCCTGAAATCCATTTTTAGTCTCTAGTTACATCTCTAGCCATCAGATTCTCTCTTCTGAGAGCCCTATATGCAGTATTACATGCACGCAACAAGAGTAGTATACATATTGACATTCTCACATTGAACCCCATATGTTGATACTGTTCTCTATGCTGACATTTTCCTTGATAGTTTGGTAAGAACCCTTCTTATTTTCCAAAATACTCTTGGCAAGCTGAACTCATTCTGATATATTGCTGCCTATTGATATGAATCGGGCACTTTTTTGGAGAGTTTTCTAAATATGGGAACCAAGCTCACTGCTCTTATCTTACACAGCTGTAGGCAAATTTGTTTAGACCCCTCAACTCTTCCGTGTTTATTGATTAAATATTTCCCTGTGTTTTCCATCTTTAACATTATATTTCCTCTAAATGAAGACAAGGAGAAAATGGGGTTTATTGAGATATCTAGGAAAAGCAATAATCTAAAATCCTAAATATAATTATATATCTAGTTATTTAGTAGTATTCTGGGCACCAGAAGAAATAGTATGTTTCTTTGAGCACTTAACAGAGTGAAGGATGTGAAGACTAATTTACTAATGCAGCAGATGAGAGGAGCCTAAGGGCAAATGGGGCTAGAGCTAAACAGGATCTTGAACAGGAAAACTAGAGTAAACATTTACCAGGTTAGGAGTAGAGAAAAGACGTGGCATTGTCAGCCTGAAAGGGAGTTACGTGACTGTTTGAGTTGCCTTAGAGGAGATTAAATTTCTCAGCTCAAAATGGAAGATGGTCAAAGTATCGGTATGTGTCCTGGCACTGGCACAGAGAGGAAGGAGCTCATTGTTTGCTATATCATAGTGAAAGAAACTCAAGATTTGGGTTTGAAGCTGACACGACAACTGAAACTGAAAACTGAGAGGAGAAAGTTGAGGATTACAAAAGCTCTGCACCTGGCTTCAGTACAGAGGAAGAAAAAACTAAGTGCGTTAAGTGTTTGGCAAAGGACAGGTAAAGCTACGTGGGTTTGAAGCTGGAGGAAGCTTGGAATTTCTTTAAAAGAAAGGTGCTCGTACTCTCAGGTATCCACATCCCAAGCAATAGGACAGAGCTTTGAAAGTGAGTTCCAGGTCTAACTTGATGAACAGTCACCTCAAGAAAGAAATTCTAATGAAGCAGAAAGTGCGTTCATAAGGAACGGGAAGCACAGTTTATCAGCACGGAAACCCCAGGCTGATATGTACAGCAATAAAGTGAGCGTTGCCAGAAGATAAGTTATCTATAACCTTGCAGAGCACACCAAAGCAGAGGAGGAAGTCCTCAAGTGTATAAATAAAAAGTGAATCCTGAAGAAAGAGACGAGGCATGCTGCTGTAAGGATGAATAAGAAGTAAGAGATAACTGAGATGGGATGCCCAAATTAACCGAAGATATTGCACTGTTTTTAATCAAAATGAAGATGAAAAATGAGGAGTGGAAATGATTTCAAGTGCTTTGGAAGCAAGCTTAAAGAGCTTACTACAAGAAAGTCAGATTATTGTCATTTTACCAAAGAAAATGTCACTTGAAATTTAAGGTCTAGTAGTGAGTGTTGCGTAGTATCTACAGTTAGCAACGAGCAAAAATGATACACGGAAGTTTGTACCGGCAAACAGAAAGAAAAGAATGCCTTTGACAGCCAAAGTGACAGAAAAGCAATAACAATGAGTACGAGAAACTACTGAAAGTAGGAAAAAACCTGCTGCAAATTGGTATCTCATCAGGTGGAAATGGCTGAAGCAGAGACACTGGGTGTGAAGCCCTGCGGGTCACCCGTGCGGTGCAGCCGAGGAGGGGCCCTGCAGCCCTAGACCCTACTGCGGTGTCACCCAGGGGCACCCAGAACTGATCCTGCTCTGGAAAATGCTGCTGGGACTGAGGCTTCGGCTGGAATACCACAGGGCGCTCTTGCCACGGGTGCTGCGCGCCAGCCAGCGCAGCAGGGCAGGGGTGCTGCGGTGGGACGGGATGGTCTCCCACCTCCTGGGAGGTGATGTTGTGACTCCATCTCCTGGCCAAAGGCTGAGCTGCACGGGTTGCTGGAGGGTTCCTGCTCCAGGAGTGTCTGAACGCCAGACAAGGAAGGGATCCTATCCCACAGCGATCCTTTCCCGGACTCCCGTAATTTGTGCCCCAGGGTGATTCAGAACTGGATATGGGATCTCTGCATGCAGCAGTTTGTTATGGAAAAAAATAATGGCAGGGAAATCCTACTGGTTTTAGAAACTCGTGTGAACTTTTAGCATCCGCAGAGGCCTGCAGCGAGGAGCTCCACAGCTTGCCTGTGCGTTGTGTTGTGCACGGAAGCACCTCTTCTTGTCTGGATTGAATCTGTGACCTGTTCGCTTCATTCAACGCCTCATTTTTATACCAGAAGAGACCAGGAATGATCATTCCCTGGCTATTTCCTCCGTACCATTCATGGAGGAAAAGACCTTTATGGGTTTGTAGCAGTGGGAATAGCCATGGCTGGCAAGGCCACGTCATCCTATCATGGAAGCCTGTACTATGGCAAGGAGGAGGGCTGTGTCACTGGGGGGACTTGGATGATTCCTTCCAGGTCCTGCAGTGACACCGAGTGGGCAGGCCCCCGTTGGATGGGCATGGGAAACGGGGACACGGCAACGCCTGGGCTGGGAAAGAGCCGTAAGAGGCATCAGTGGCAGGGACAGCCATACGACCAGGGGAGTGTACTGCTGGATCTGAGGCTGCTCCCCTTACGGGGGAAGGACAGTCCGTGTGGATGAGAGGAGGTGGCTGGGTGTATCTGTCTCGGGGGTTTCTGTAGGGAGGCAGTGCTTGGGTCAGAGGGTGCTGGGAGAAGACAGAGGGTGGAAGTCACTTCGGCTGGGGAGGGAACGAAAACTGAAGCAAGACCTGGTGTTTGCCTCCTGCTAAGGTAAGGCCAGAGGCCTTGACGGGTAGCTGTTGCGATGTTCCTGCTCGAACATTTGAGTCTGAGACATGAAACCTCCTAGCCAGAATGAGGAGGGCAAACGTGACCGCTTGCACAGCTCTGTTTCCAGGTCTGCTGGCAACAGCGGTGCCAGGCTGGGTGAACAGGGATGGGAGTCGTTGTCCTCCACCCGGCTGACCCGGGTCCTCTTGCGGTTCACGGGACAACGCTCGCAGTGCGAGGGAAGCGAGCCCTCCAGACGAGAGGGCGCTCAGCCCTCTGAGCGCGGTGGTGGTTTTGAGGAGTTCAAGTGAACACAAAAGTACGTGTGAGTGGAGCGGGTCCTGAGCCGGGATACGTCTGAGCACTGTGCGGTGCAGATACAGCATCCTTCTGTGGAAGGGTAATAGCTGTAGGCAACACAGACGGGAATGCCAGCGCTGCTGGGAGCCAGGCAGCGCCCCTGGGATAGACGCCTCTGGCAAGGTCGATACAGGCTACGCGAAATCTCCCCTGTCTGCACTCCTGGGTTTCTTCAGAGAACTCTCACGGCTTTGAGAGAGAGAACTTTCCTTTGCAAAAGCCTCCTTTCCTATTATATCATATTTACCTATGTGGCCATTAATTGTAGTCTTTGGAAGAGACTCTACTAATTTGTGCTGTGCAGTTATGAGACTTAATGGTCTGGAACATTAAAAAAATTGTATCTCATTAGCAACTCCTCTGATAACCAAGGCACTTTCAAGTGAGAGATAACACATCCTGATCAGTAGTTGAGCTATTTCATCCTCACATTCCTTCGGTGCTCTTGGGTTAATGTTACCTGGTCCTGCCAATTTGTTACTCTCTGCTTCGTTATGTTTCCTAATCTCTGTAGAAGAGATTTCAAAATGAGACTGATCCTCCCTTACGTTCTGTATAAAGGTGGGTTCGGGGCAGGGATCATCCCAAGCTCCTGTACGATAAACACCAGGGATCATCCCAAGCTCCTGTACAATAAACACCAGGGATCATCCCAAGCTCCTGTACAATAAACACTGATGCAGAGGAATTATCTGAGCCCTCCTATTACGCATGCACCATGTGCTAGCCCCGCAGAGACCATGTTATTTCTTATGCCTTTCGCAATGTGTGACCCAACCTTTTGGAAAGATGGGCTTTCTGGTCTTAATAGCGTCTCCTGTGTCATTGCGCCATCCCAGCTATTTTCTGGGTTTTTTTTCTCATGTCTGTATGTGAGGTTGTATGCATTTGCTTTGAGTATGGTATTTCTGAATACTCTTCATGCCACCCGCAGAGGTTTTTCACTCTTACTACTTCTTCATTCTTACTTAATTTCCCTGTTTTGATATTAAGCAGAAGAGTATTGATCATTTTATGTTGCTCCTTGGGGGGGGAGCGTATGCTGAGCGTAAGTATACTACTTTCTTAAAACAATATTATGAACCGTAACAACTGCGCACTGCTCAGGAACAAGCCAAGAGCGGGTTTTCCTACTGCAAGTTCCCAAATAGCTGTCTTGTGAAGTAAACATTGATGAGGTCCCAAAAGGTAGCACTGCACGGGCTGACAGGCCTGCCCGCAAATGGTTAGCGGGTACTCTCCAGCACACGGACGGGGCGGGGAATGGGAAACGGCGGTTCCCTGCTTATGGGCAGAGGAAGCTGGAGAAGCAAAGCCCTGAAACGTGCTGCCGTGCTTTTTAGGCAGCGACCAGTTGCTGCTCTACATCCTTCATAAGGCTAAGGAAATCCGGCTGATTCTTGTTTGTTGTTTATATTTTCATACAGTTCATTACATCACCAAGCTGATAAATGACTATTTTAGGGTTGTTCCTTAGTAATTATGTAATGAGTACATTCATCTCTACAAGTAACCTCAGACTTGCATCCTTCAGAGAAAGTTTTAATGACATAAATTGGGTAGCAATGCAATCACTCAAATGTCAAAATCAATGCTAGGTATCTTGGCGCTCTGTGAGCAAAGTTACATGTGCGTTTTTTTTCTTTTTTCGCAGTTTCACCTGGCTTTGCAGCCAAGTCCACACCAGCCTGGTGACTCACTTCCGTGGTCAAATTGTTGCGGAGTTTGACAAGGAATTCCGGTACTTGTATGCAGAGTCCAGAGCAGTGACCAGCTTCTGTGTGCCAGATCCTGGAACGTGCCCCTCTTCTCAGAATACCTCAAACGTTGCCAACTCCCTTCTAAAACCCACACAGGTGAATGATGCTGAAACGTCGAGCCCCTCCAGCAGCCTTTCCAATGTGAGCATCAGAAGCATCAAAGTGTCTCCCTTTCTGAAAAACTCCAGCTGCAACGTACACCAGGAAAAGCAAGATTCAAGCTCTGATTCTGGTAATAAGAAGGGGAAGGAAGACACATCTCTGAAGCCCGCTTGCCCTAAGCAGCAAGGCGAACCACCAGACTCACCGAACAGTCCTCCCAATAAATCCACCCCAGCCTTGTATCACAAATCAAATCTCATCACAGGAAGGACATTCTTGCAGCCGGAGCCTTCCCCTGCCCTGAGCTCCAATAAACCTGGTTATGAAGGGGACAGTAAGGCTGACAGCAGCCACTGCTCCCCACTGAGGCAGGAGCAGACGTCGCAGTCCCTTTCAGAGGGTGCCAGTAGCGACGGGACAAGCATGAAGCAGAAAGGGCCTGCTGCTACTTCCAGGGAAGCGACAGCAGAAAATGACAGCGCTTTTTATGGGATAGAAAAAAGGCAGAGTCCCGGACAAGGAAAATTGGACCTGCTGTCCCCATACAGCCAGCCAAAACGAGATAAAAAGCCTGTAGTTCCTTGCTACGATAAACTCCCTGAGGACATGCTGATGGAAAAGAGCAGCACATACGGGGCTGAGAAGAGACTGACTCTTGGGCACAGTAAGCTGGATCTGATCACCAAGTACAACAAGCTAAAATCTAAACACATACACAGTCGGTTCGAACTCTGACCTGGGCCTCGAGGTATCCTTTGGTCTTATTTTCAAGCGGTTGCTTTTCCCCACCAATCATCACGTCTGGGGCTTGAAATCAAAATATGGGTGGCAAATTAGCCTTGTTCCTATTAAAAGGTGTCTGTGCTGTTTCTAATATATGCAGAAGACTGATTCAGCTGAGATTAGCAAGTACAGTTCAAATTTTCAATTACAAGATCATGGCAGGAGAGAGAAAATGACATAAGCATAATCCACATTTGTAGGTTCTTTTTACCCGTTGGCGAAAGAACCGTTTCCCCCCAAACTTACAGCAAAACCATTGCTACAGCTGGAAACTGTTTGACCACTGAGGTCTTCAGGGCGAACCCAGGTTCTCTTTGTAGTGAGTGATTCCTCTCCCGCTGTCCACGTGCTGAATATGAAAGGGTCAAAGGCAGGGTAACGTTAAGAATAAAGGAATAAAGGCGCTGTTCTGCTGGAAAGAGCTGTGTTGGGTCCCTCGTGGGGAGGTGGCCAGGGCCCCTCTGTGCTGGGCTGTGCCGCGCCAGGAGGATACGGGTGGCACGTCCGGGTGCATGGTTGGCATCTCACGGTTGACATTGGCGTGTAAGTGGTGTCTGCACATGGGTGGGATCACCCCATGGGTGGTGTCTGCACATGGATGGTGTCTGCACATGGGTGGTAATCACCACACAGATGGTGTCTGCACACGGATGGTGTTTGCACATGGGTGGGGTCACCACACAGATGGTGTCTGCACATGGGTGGGATCACCCCTTGGGTGGTGTCTGCACATGGGTGGGATCACCACACAGGTGGTGTCTGCACATGGATGGTGTCTGCACATGGGTGGGATCACCACACCGGTGGTGTCTGCACATGGGTGGGACACCACACGGATGGGATCACCCCATGGATGGTGTCTGCACACGGATGGTGTCTGCACATGGGTGGGATCACCACACGGATGGGATCACCCCATGGATGGTGTCTGCACACGGATGGTGTCTGCACATGGGTGGGATCACCACACGGGTGGTGTCTGCACACGGATGGTGTCTGCACACGGGTGGGATCACCCCTTGGGTGGTGTCTGCACACGGATGGTGTTTGCACATGGGTGGG